GTGATGCGACAATATTTATATGTGCAGGCGGAGCCTGACATCTGTCGTCATCACGTCACCTGCCTAAAGGCGTGATTAGAGGTGGCTTCAGCCAGGGCACGCAGGAGCGTGGTTCCCATACATATGTTGTACYTCGTTCCTTTCCTTCAGGGAACAGTAGTTATATGCATAACATTACGTTTTATGAACAGTTTCACCTCAAAGACCAGTTTATTATCTTTGAGACAGAATATTTGTTTCCAAACTACTGAAAAGATTTCTAACACATCATTTAAGCCTTGTATAAAAATAATAATTACTGAATGACTGCAGACCTTTTATTAAAAATAAACCAGTTCTGTGAAACAGTTTAAAAATACAAATATTTCAGAAAAGCCTATGTTGAAGAGTTATGTGAAGAACTGGGTCTTTACTTAGCAAAAAACAAACTAAAATGAAATGATTAATCTGATTAATAACTGGAAGGTCTTTTTTTTTTTATTAATTACAGAACAATTATGCCCCTTTTCCATAGTGTAGTGTTGGAACAGTCGATGTAGCTACGGGTCGGTACAGGTCGGACCGGTTGGTTTTCCACTGATGTTCCAGTCCGGTTCCAGTGAGTGTGTTTTGGGCGGTTGGTGGAGGTGGTTTTTAGGTTTTTTGAAAAAAAGGTTAATGGGCAAAATGAGAGCTGGAAACACATTTGATGAATAACTTTTGAAATTAAAAAAATTTGCAAAGATTTAGCCAATCAGTGACGAACAGTGTTCTGATGTCGCATTTTGGTGTCAGCTGGGGCCGCTTGGAACAACAATGAATGAAGTAGGTACTAAAAAAAGTGCCGGTTCCATGAATCTGGCCTAATATAATGGAAATGGCTTGGAACCGTAACGAACCGTACCGACACTACACTAAGTGGCACTAGTGGAAAAGGGGCATTTGAGACACCTTAAGCTACTGATTAAAAAGGGGGGAAACTTGCAAATAAAAAAATGTAATGCTTTAGTAAACTAAAATATAATAGTTAGAGAATTAAAATGACTACAAAAACAGATAGAGGGGGGGAGGGGGTAAAATTTGTTGTGAAGATCTCACCTTTCTCTCCAGGCGCTCCTCTCGGGTCTCTGCTCTTGTTGGTGGAGGAGCGTCTCTTGGGTCCTGATTAAAAAGTAAAACACGGGTCAGTCAATGTTAAACATGAATTAACCCAAACGCACAAATTATTCATACATATAAGCTTAGCACAAAACATAATGAAATGTGTGTTTGATGAATTATTTATTCACAAAACATTTTTTTAACCAGGCAAATCCCATTGAGATCATAAATCTGTTTCACAATGGAGTGCTGGTCTTAGGGATGCTTCTTGGGAATAAATCTTATACCGCTGGGAAGTCTGTTGATTTCCTTTTTCTTTTTAAATGGTGCCACGTTTGTAAGGAACAGGCGTTTGTGGGATGGGTTGTTGTGCACATGAAAAACTGGCTAAATAGCCTTTTCAGCAGTTGTTGACGCTGTTTTTAGCTTCTGGTACCCAGTATAAGATTTATTGCCAAGAAGCATTGTTACAGCAAAGAAATGATCGTCAACCAAATATTAATTTCCTGACTTTTTGTGCTAAATTACACTTGTATACCTCGAAGTGCCTGATGAACGGAGCGATGCCACAGTACGGCTGGTTGTGGTGCTTCTCATGGGGTAACTTTTCCAGCTGAGGTAGGAAAGGAATCGGGTCCCGTGGTGCAAACAGGGCCAGCAGGTTCGGAGGTAAAAACTGCGTCATCTTTCACTGAAAACAATCACGTCGAAAATAACGTCACATCGTTTCTGACTGCAGCAGTAACGAACAGCATGCTAACGTTAGCATGACAGCTAGCATCAAGCTCATTGTCTGAGGCTTCCCCATCATCATAATTAAATATAGGCTTGTCTATTAAATACATATGAACAGCGGATACATTGCAGCTATGATTTCATACGGACACAAATCAGTTTTATTTATTACTACTGTTTTTCTTTATATTTCATTTCCTCTTAAACTTTAATGAGACTTCAACATCAAGCTAACGATGCTAACAACACGAGCCTGGATAAAGTCTCACCTTCTCTCCTCCAGAGCTCGGACAGTTTCAAACCATAGACCTGAGACGGAACCGCACGATGTGAGCACTCCTCCCTGACAGGCTTACTGGGTCAGAACCGGACAAACGGTGTTTCAAATTGATTCGTTCAGGGCTACAAGACGGGTGTCAAACATTAGCACAACGTGCTATGGATAACAGGTCGGCTTCTCCAAAGTACAAAATGGCGGGGTACCGGAAAACATGTMAAAACTGACGTAAAACGTGTAGGAAGAGTAGCGCGTCACCGAGTGGTGCGGCAGGGTACTGCAGCCAGAGGTGCTTGGATTGACAGACTCCTCTGATTAAGATTTTTAATCTCTTTGAAAACTAAATCCACAGAAACTCTCCAGCACAAGTCAAACTGCTGTCATCTACAGAAATACTCAGATGACTCTGCAGTTGTTGGGTGWATCAGAGATGGACAGGAAGCTGAGGACAGAGAGCTGGTGGACCGCTTTGTGACATGGTGTGGGAACAATCATCTCATCTCGAATGTGAACAAAACAAAGGAGATGATTGTAGATTTCAGGAGAAATAGTGTCAGATCAAACCCTGTTTCCATCATGGGAGAAGAAGTGGAGGTGGTTAAAGAATATAAATACCTCGGTGTTCATCTGGACATCAGTGAAGCAGTCTGCAAGAAAGGACAGAGCAGACTGCCTTGAGGAAGCTGAGATCCTTCAATGTCTGCAGCAAGATGCTGCAGATCTTCTACAAGTCTGTYGTTGAGAGCGTCATCTCTTCTGCCATCATCTGTTGGGGCAGCAGCATCAGAGCCAGGGACCTAAAAAGGCTAAAAAACCAGATAAAGAAGGCTGGTTCTGTTCTGGGGACGACTGTGGAATCTCTGGAGATGATGGTGCAAAGAAGGATTTTACAYAAAATCAAGAACATTGTGGACAACCCTGACCATCCTCTTCATCAGACTGTCATAGAAAGACAAAGTGTCTTCAGTTTCATTGTAATACAGACCACTACAGATCATTCCTGGCCACAGCCATCAGCATCTACAATACTGATCCCTCTGGGATCAATAAAGTATTTTTGAATTGAATATATTCAATATACCAATATTATATAACTCAATTATTGATTATCAACTCAGACAACAGCTCTGCTTTATTTACTTCCTTTTTCTCATGAACACCTTATTTTGAACAGACTGTTTCTCATCATCCTGTACATCTGGATCCAGAGTTCGGTTGTTTATTTTAGTGTTCTATGTTGTTATTGTCATTGTCTCATTTTTCAGCTTTTAAAAAAGATTTCAGAAGAAATAACATACGTATATTCATACAGTATATAAAAACAGCTGCATAAACATTCACTGAACTGTATTTTTACATTGTTAGCCTGGGGTTATCGACATGTGGGGGAATGAAACTCAATAAAATGACCACAAAATGATTTTCAAGCCACATTTTTATGTTTGTGGGTCCAGTCATGTTATAAAGGAGCTGAATGACTTGGCCCAGCTTTGTGGGACACATGCACACAACACAGACACGATAAGAGAACTCAGCCGTTAAAATGGATCTGAACCATCGGTCAGATGAGCCAGTCACTGCAGACCGTCTGTCCAGAGATAGAGGGCGGGGACATGTAGGGACAGGAGAGTGTCTCTTGACATTGTCCAACACATTTCTGGTGTGTGTGATTAAAAACAGAACCCGTCCTCAGCCTGGTAMGAGTGAAGTGGACTGACGGGCCTGGCTGTGTGATGGGAGTTCAATGCAGGACATATTTACAGTGATGCTAAAAGAACGGACAGCTTAAAAAAAYGTCTGCCCCTCAGGCAGAGCTGTGCAGGGCTCCCGGCTCCCGCTCTTCACGCTCCTCTTCGTCCATCTTACGCCCGTGTTTCCGGAAATATTTGTAGCGCTGGACGTAGAGCTTCACCAGGTTACTGACTTTAACTGGATTGATTTCTCCAGTGCGGCTGTGGCAGATCTGAGGGAAAAACACAGTGTGAGAGGAAAGTCTGTTAGCAAAATACCTCTTCAAACACCAGATTACAATATTTTCAGAAAGCATTCATTTGATATATACAACTGATTAACTATAAATACAATTCAAGATGGCCACTGTAATGAAAAAACAAACTTTTTGTTTTAAGACAGTAATTCATGACAAACTTTAATGACCCAGTTTGTCATGACACCGTTTACTGGTAGAAAGAACAATTATAGCCAGAATCTGTTAACAGCACTCCTAATATCATATCACTTGTATTTGTCTCTGTTTTCCTTTCACCCAGCAGGATGCTGGAGACTAAATCAAGCTTTATTAAATGACATAATGGTGTTTGTTAAACAGTTTTTAAAGGAGACCCTCAGCTGCCTCAGGGGAACATTTTTGACTAAGAACCTGGCTCTGTGTTGATCTGTGTTCCTGTTGTTGCATAAACAACTATTGGACGACCATTCTACATATTTCTGCTTCTTAGTAAATGTTTCCACAACAGCTAATCAACAAAAATAGAAGCAGCTAAACTAATTTGATAGATTTTATGCTCACATTTGATATGTGAGCAGCTGAAGGTCAGTTGTGTGTGACTGATCCTGTGAACAAACAAACACCATGACTGAAGCATGACATTCTGACCTTATGCACAGCTTTCCTGAGGATGTCTTTGTACTCGTCCTTGTTGATGTCTTTGCGCTGATAGTAAGGTTTGATGGCGAGCTTCACCTCCTCTACTGCGCGCTCCTGAGTGTGCAGCTTCTTCAAATACTGAGGAAATCACACACACACACAGAGCAGTGAAAACACACAGAAACAACAGACACACTGGAGAAAAACATCTACTCCAAGTTACTGAACAGATACTGTGAGAATAAACTGTAAAAAACTCGTCTTTAAGATGAAACTGTTTATAACCTGTTGATCCTTCTAACAAAACTCTAACCAYGATTAGTTGTAATATTAGACTTTATTTAATAAATGTGTATTTTAATTGTAAAATAAAGACTGTAAAAATACTGTAGGCTGTTTAGTTTTGTAAATTTAAAAAAATATATTACAC